AAGGTGGCCCCTATCTAAAATTATGTGTAATGTTCACAGATTATGAGACTCGAAAACCGATTAAAGAAGCCTTACAAATTCCTAAATTATTGGAGCTTCGCTCCTAAACTCCAGGTTTGAAAGGTTCTGGGAATTCACCATCAGGATCGCCTCTCCACCCCTCCATCGACGGCGCCGGGCATATGCTGGCCACACCACTGTACACAAATAGGCCTACAATAAAAAAAATAATAATTTGAATCACAATTATTATTATTATTTTTTAAAATCAAACGAATAGAAAATTAGTGCATCATTTAATTAGTTCACAATAACGTTGGCGATAAAATGATGTCACGATTGACTTATAAACACAATTCCTCGATATGGAAACATAGCGCGCGTGCACGATCGCATTGAAACTCAAATCGAGATATTATAGTCATAATATAATAATAATAATTCCATACTTTTAGCGCATTCCGCAAAAAAGCCTCCATGATGCGCTTTCAAAAAAAAAAAGAAGATAATAAGCAATAAATAATTTTGACTTAAACTACGGTACTTAAACTAAAACAGTTCCGAAAAAGCAATTATATTATATGACAGCATATGATCCGGCTCTCGGAAATACTCAACTTGAATGACATGACTAATACAGACAATGGAAATTGGGGTTCATATCAGGAATTTCAGACCTGGTGATAAAGTCTGGACTACAAACGCTTATCAGTGTACATGTAGGCCTATTGAAACTGGACCAGTGGAGGTACAAATAATGAAAAAATGGCAAATCAATCCTGCAATACACAGTTTCACAAGGCTGAATTTAATTTCTGATTAGAGAAGAATTGTTTGTGCCACTAGAGAATTATTCACACTTCCTCCTTGTCGGCCTACGTTTACATAATAGATTTCGATGTATTTTAATAATAGGCCTATTTGAGATATTATTTTACACGTAGCCATTTAGATTTACCGACAAGTTTAATTTAAAAAATCATTGTATTTATTTAACTTGATTTTTTCATATAGGCCCTAAGCCTATTTAAATGGCATAAAAAGTGTACTTTTGTTGAGATTGTTTACAGTTTGTTGGAAAGGAAACATTTAACTTGAATTAGGCCAACGTGTTGGCCACGTTTTGGGAAAATCCCAAAAATGGGTAGGTCGGTAAGAACACTTTTTTTTCCCTTTTTAACCACCAAATATGTGTTTACTCCTAAAAACTACAAAATACACAAATAATAAAACAATTTTGGATTCGCGTCGCGTACCATCCAGCAAAATAGGCTAGCCTTGGCCCCATAGCCTCGCCTAGGCTATTCCAGCCTTATTTGCTCATTAAAAAATAGTGTTCGTTATTAAAAAATAAAATAAAATAAAATGCCGACTCTTAATTTCGTAAAATTTGAGTCGGTCGGGCGTGGCCAACACAATCATTTTTTTTGTTGGCCTTATAATATAGGCTTATTTTGATATTTATTTGGAGTCTAAATAGCAAATAACTAAAAAAAAAAATGACTCGTGCCACTGTTATAATATAGTGGTAGGCCTGTTTCTAGAACCGCGATGGTTCGTAAACAATTCAGATCTATAAATAGTATGGCTATGATATTTTTCAATAAATTGTTAATTTATTTTTAATATACTTCAAGGTCTTTATGGAGTAGTACATCATGCATCGCTAGTGCACGGTCGACAACATTCGCTATACTATTCGCTACCCGTATACGGTACTATTTCGAAACCAGATGAAATTGATTGATCATTTAACATTCGCTTTCGATTTTCATACTTTCACGATTGTAAAGGATGTGTTCATAATATTCCAGTTTCATTAATAATAATAATAATAATAACAATAATAATAATAATAATATTAATAATAATAATAATAATAGTAATAATAATAATAATAATAATAATAATAATAATAATAATAATAATAATAATATAATGCGCCATCATCTAACTACTATTCAGAAGCGCAGTGACTCTTTGACGAAAAGAAAATGTATTTATTTATTTTGTATGTATATTCTGTTGAAAATGAGGAATTATACCTAGCCAAAAAGTATTATATATTTAGGCCTATGTTAGTTTGGTTAATTGCAATTATGAATTAATTTACTAAAAAAATTTGTAATTCTAATTTTCGATAACATTATCCTGTCCTCCCTTTTCTCTCTTTTCTTTATTCTATTTATTTTTATTTTTCATTTATAACCTTTTCCTTTCTTCTTTTCAATCTTTCATTTCTTATATTCATTTCTTTTCCTTTCTTTTATTCAGTTCGTTTTCTTTAATATTCCTTTCCAATCTTGCTTTTCTTTCATTTTTATACCTTTTACTTTCTTCCTTTTAGTATCATTCCTTTTCAGTCTTTTGTTTTCTTTCTATGTAGTTTCTTTCTATTCTATTCTTTTCTTTTCCTTTCTTTTTTCAGTATTTTTGTTTTTCTTTATTATTCCTTTTCAATCTGTCGTTTTCTTTCTTGTAATTTTATTTCAAGTCTTTTTTTCATTCTTCATTATTCACATTACTACTTTATTCACACTATTACTGAGTATCTAGCCGGATAAACTCATGACACCAGTTGACCCTCTCTGCGTGGGGTTGGAATATAGGAATGTAATTCTACTATCCTTGGATGTTGCGCATGCTATGAATTAGTAATTGAATTATGATATCCAGATAGCAGATTACTCGCATGAATACCGTATGCTGCGCCTGTAAGCCTACAGCAGTCTACTCTATTGGCAGCAGGGACCTTCTAAATATTTTGAAAATATTTTACAAAGAAATACTTCTGTAACAAATGCTACGTTTGAATAGGTAAATGTCACAAAATCCTTGCTACCGTCTGGTTATTTAAAACTTTATGGCCTATATGGGTGTAGCAACACTCATCTATTATTTTCCGATAATTGTGCCAGATACTGTAAAACAAGGAAGTACTAAAGTCGATCGAACCTCCGATTTACTACTTTCGACAAACGTATTCTATTTTACACCAGGATCCTTAGTGACGTAATGGTATAAATTTAAGAATCTACTTCATAGGTTTATCTGGCGGTAAATTGAATCTGTTCAACCATGAGGCATCTGTGGTCTAATGGTTATGACGCTCGCTTTGACACCGAGAGGTTGCAAGCTCGAATCCCGCCAGAGGGATTTTATTAGACAATTTATTTATTCAGTTATTTATAGGACAACATTTTTTGAGAGCTATGCTACACAATGTATTATCATGTCCTTTATTCGAACACTGTATTTACCTTTCTTTGATGATTTACTTGTAATTTAATAGTGTTAACGGCTATCTTGAGCCCTTTCATATAGACGTTGCAGCAAAGAAACTCATTGTAAACACACTTTATAAATTAAAATTATGCATCATTTTCATTTTTGTTTGACATGTGATTTCATTTCGATTCAGACTATCAAATCATTTCTACCGAGTATGATTGAACGAAACCATGGCCACATCGTGACAATCGCAAGTTCCGCTGGACTATTTGGTACAAAAGGCCTAATTGATTATTGTGCGAGCAAGTTTGCTGCAGTCGGATTGGACGAGTCCCTACGTTACGAGCTGATGTTTATGGGTAATGAGGGCGTTCATACAACTGTTGTATGTCCGTTCTTCATCAACACCGGTATGTTCGACGGTGTTAAGACAAGGTAGGTCTATGCCTATTATTGCAGATGTAGGCGTAAGTATGTTGTGCTTCTTCTTGTGCCTAATTTAAAATCATTATAAATATTTAAACAAATTATGCTTCACTCCATTATCAATTCTATACAGTATAATCATATGCCTATATTGAATAAAAATAATTTTATAGACAATGACAATGAATTTCTTTTATTTTCTTTGATCATCAACACATAAATCATAAAATAATCATAGATAATTTCACTATATTTTAGCAGTCAAAGAAAGGGGGAAATTCCAGAAGCATAATGCTTGTAAAAGGAACACCCCTTTACTAAATTAAAACATACAACAATATAATCGGTTCAAAATTCTGAATAAACGTTATATCATATCAAAACCCTATTGAAGTTTAACAAAAACTATATTTTCATTACTATTATACGTAGAGTACCGTAACCTTTTCAATTTTTCTTAGAGATTTCGGTTGTAAGATAGATAGGCCTATGTATAAACAAAATTCGATTACTGATGTTTTATTTGCGTTTACAATAAATTTAGATTCCCGAGTTTGCTGCCGATAATTGAACCAGAAGTTGCCGTTGCAAAGATCATGAGTGGGATCCTGACCAATGAGAAAGAAGTATATGCTCCTGGTATCATTCGTGTTCTAGTGAAGTTGCGAGAGTAGGCCTCTTCTTGTTATTGATTTAAATACTGCCCTCTTGCGAAAGAGGGCAGTCTCAGATCCTATTTTTGTATGGATCTGTGATTTTAAACACATTTTTTATCTAAGCAAAAGCACTTTAAATCCCAAACCCTTTCTCAGTTCAATACAGTTTATATTTATGTATTTATCCGTCCACCATTCGTTTAGTCCAATTGTCAGCTATTCCCACATGCATCGATTCAATTCGTTCGCCTGAATGTATTTGTTGCCGTTAAAATCAGAAATAAGCAAGCTGCTTTAATAGTCCGTCCCTGAATCTGCCACTACATGCCAATCCAATACCGTCTCATCTACGTCCCTTATAAAATGTGTGAAAGTTTATAGTTAAATATTGATTCCATTTTTTATCTTTCAGTATTCTCCCTGACAGAGCAAAATGTAGAGTTTTTCAGTTCTTCGGAACAGATACCTGCATGGACCACTTCGTCGGACGTACAAAGAATGATTGATTATGAATTAAACACCGTTTGATTACTTAATTAATGGTGAAAGAGTGGGATTTAGGCAATGTTTGTTTACGTGTGTTAGACCTACAATAGGCCTAACATGAGTTTGACCTCTGATGTTTTGCATATATGTTGTAGGCCTTCTTTGCATGATAGCTAGCCCAACCTATATGGTAGTGATATTTACCAGTGGTCTGGTAACCGAAGTGACGAATCTATCAGTTGGCCAATGTAGGATATGTATAATGAGTCTCCTACTGTGTTTGGGACCAAAGACTTATAATTGCATTACTTTCATTGTATACATAAATATAATTTCAAGGTATACGGTAATTCCTGAAACCAAGTAATTATATTGTCGATAGCATGAAAGACGATTCGAACATTATCATCAATAAAAATCATTTTTTAAATTTTATTTTATTATTATTATTGTTTGTGTTAGGCCCGAGGCCAAGGATATGCCAAACATCGAACTTAATTACTTCACAAGATAGACAACATAAATAGTCTATGAGGAGCAATTCCTGTGAAAGTGACAACCACCAAATTATTCAACTCTGCTCCACTGATGCAGATTGAAGACATTTCTTGAAAATAGAAACTCGCTTGATTTTGAACTGTAATCGATAATTGCTAGGCCTGTATTTATGATTGAAGCTCTTTAACATGGATAACGGGATGGGCGCAGTATAAAATTAGTGCATGTTAGGCCTAATTTTAAATATATAGCTTCTGTGTTTAATATACTACTGGAAGTCATTTTAAGCATTTTCGTAGTAAATAGTCAATAGGTTCGATGTCTTATTTGAGGTCACTTTAGAGTCTTAGATAATCCTTTTATAATGAGAAACTCAATTTGGAAATTTTCCAGACTTTACCAAACCAAGTCAAGCAGTGTCTCACCTGGAAAAAACAATCCACATATTTAAACGTGAGCCAGGAAAAGGTTTTAATTTAAAAAAATATTTTGAGTCATTGTGTTAATACGGTTCATTTTTTTTTCTTTTGTAGGCCTATAACAGCATGGAGGACAAAATTTGCTCCATGGTAATATGTAGTTAGAAATCATTCATGCGACGATTTCCATACTCCCCCAAATCGCTTGTTGGTGGCGCCGGGAACAGTTAAATTACCTGGAATGATCTCGAACTACTTAGGCGCCGTGCTAATCCGATTGAGTTCCTATTGTTCGCTCTTAGGAATAGTGGCAATTCTAGAATGTAAAAGCGTCATATAATAATGTTGCACGGCAATTTCTCAATTAAAGGTACAGATATGCCAACTGTAACATACGTCGTCTTTTAATTATAGAATAGAATATAATTATGTAGGCCTACAACTTAAGCAGAATTTAAACTGTGACCGCTTTTCGGGGTAAACCAAGCTTTTAGAGTAATTTTCCGGATAACGAGAAGAAATAATGAACATATTTTAACACTACGGGCACATCCGATTCAAAATGGTCAGACCAATCCCTGTTCAAGCCCTTTAAGAGAACATTCCTAAAAATACACTTACGACCGTCGTCGACGCAGTGAGTGAACGGGTTTAGACACAGAGCTTTTAATTGGTAAGGACAACTTGAATACTAAAGAGTATCCTGCTCCAAGTGTTTAACTCTGTTGTTCCATGGAGGAAATAGCTAAGACTAAACTTCCTCCATGATTGTTCGAAGTTTATTAAGCGAGACTTTATTTTATACATTGTTTAGCGAACTCGCCGCCCGCCAAAAATATAATTTTATTTTGGGCCAATTAGGCACCCGCCGCCACGAAAAAATTTACTTTTTTTCGCCCTTTATTCCTCTGACGATCTTTTAAAAAAAGAATAAGTTCGCGAAAGAAGGTATACAAAGTCTCGCCTTATCTCAGAGAACATTCTTAAATCACAGAGAGTTTAAAATTAAATTAACTGATGATTCCAAGTCGGACCCTGGTAACTCATAGGCTTTTCGAATAGCAAGGTTAAAGTAGGTCAAGGAGTGCTATAAGAGTTAAATATAAAAAAGCTCAGTTAATAATTTAGCTGTTCCCTGGTTTCCCTAAATCTAGTTCAATTATATTTCACTCACAAAAAATACACATTGTACAGAATGAAGGAACAATAGAACTAAATAAAGCTTGCCCAAGCAAATGTGTTCATCCGCTTATGTTTTTAGTATTAGAATTTTTTACAGTGGTTTACCTGAACATGATACATTCCAGATAAAGCCGCTATGCAATTTAATGTTGAATCAAGCATATCAAAATAAAATAAAGAATAATAAAATAATAAAAATAATTAAATATTCATATTCTCTTCGTTAGGCGTATAATGACGATTATGGTAATGATGGTGATGATGATGATCATTATCATGACAATTGTAATAATAGATATTATTTAAAGTAAACAATTTTAAAAATTATATTAATAACAGTAGCGGACCCAGGAATTCGAAATAAAGGAGGTCCAGGAAAAGGACTTTTGACAATGCAGGTTCTACACGACCATATGGTGGGGCTGAGGTGGAATCTTTTTATATGGCCGGAAATTTGTACTATCAGAGTTAAATTTGAATATAATTTTCTTTCTCCATTTTGTTTTCAAAAATTTAGGGGTGCTAGGCTCCCTTGAATCCGCCTATGAATAATACAGTACCCTAATATTGATAATTATAGGAATAGCCCTAACAAGTATAATAAAATAGAATAGTGAGCCAATTATTAGGCATAATAACTATTTTTCAGCTTGCGGATTTCTAATTGAAGATCGGGTCTTATGTACGTGTATCCTCAGGTAGATATCTAAGTTATGAGGTAAGCATGTCCTTATAACACTGCTAAGTATTCGCCCTTATTTTGTTTAAAAAGGTTACGTTTACCGACAGAGTTGTGCCATTCAATCGCCTTTGTGATGAGCCCACATATTATATATAGTCAATGAGCAAGTCACTACGACAACAAACCCGAACTCAGCTTTTGTTATTGAAATTCCCTAAGAAATATATATTGATAAAAAGAAGTCGAGCATGACGTGACGAGATGAAATGGGATTGATGATTGTTCGGGAACAATTGTAATGGTCGGGCGGTGCGAATAAGTCTGGATCCTTACCTCTAAAAGCAAGGTAGTGTACGATAACTTTTGCTACATTAAAAATGATTTAAATACTAGTACTTAAAACATAATAGGATAGGCCTAGTAGTATCAACTTTCTTTGATTTGTTTACGAATATCATGATATTAGATTGACGAATCTATAATAATAAGCTTATTAGTAATATTACATAATAAGGCTGTACTGCACACAATGGCGTGCATTTCGATACTTGGGGTATCGTATGTAGCCTACTGTATACTTTCGTACTGTAGTGAATTGGTCATCATTCTTTAGGCTCGGTTAAACAGGAAGGCGTTGGTCAAGACTTGACTAACCAATGATGGACGGTAAGATACTTCCAGGGCGTATAAATAAAGTTATTATCATCTGATGGGTGGTTATAAATTGAGATAATCCATGGAAATGAATCTCACGTTAATAGCCTAATATTGTGTAAAACACTAAACTTTACATAAGTGACACACCATTTTTTTTTGCCACTCACTCTGACGGAAATTCCAATTAAATATTATAGAATATGTAATTTAGACAACGTATATTAATTATTATCCCATCAGAGTTAAACCCACGACAGGCCGACGTTAAAACAAACAGATACGGTAGGCATGTACATCTAACATGTTCAAACACCTAAAATTCGGGTGGGATGTTTCTGCAGATAACTTAAGCACGCCTATTTCATGACAGATTTTAAAACGGTTTAATTTTGTTTTTCTTGCATTTATCTAGTTTGTTTCTTTGTTTTGTATACAGTAATTGTATCTTTTAATTGCTTTGAAAGCTATTGGCATTTGGCCTAAAATGATTTAAAGAGTTTTCATTAAACTGTTTTCGCACTCGTAAACATTTAAAAAGAAGTCTATTCATTAATCCTATTGAGACACAACTGAGTATATTTTCATTAGGTTTTCTCTGCCAATTAACTATTTACCTGTACTACAGGTCTAGATTAGCCTTCATCGTCCGGAAATTGTGGGAACACATTTTTAGAACTTCCGGGTGGTGAACTTGATTGAAGAGACGTACTTCTCGGGATATTTATTTCAAAACCCATATTTAATTTACTAAACAACAATGACGCAACCATGCAAGACTGTCATAATTCGATGCTGAAATATCGCAACAATTGGGGATAGTTCTAACTGGTATGGGTATGGGTTGACAGGAAGTAATTCCAAAAAAAAACAATGTCAAACATACGTCATTAATCCAGCAAACTGGGTGACAATGAATGTTATGTTACAAATAGTACACTTGAAAATACTCACGAAGAAATAATCATGTACCAAGGCCCTACCTAAATCTGAACTCTTCTAAAGAATAATGCACAATATAGTAAATATAAAATTTGCGGTTGCCCGTGTCACAGAAATCTCATTCCCCACCCCTTCCGAATGAGTTCAACGCCACTAGCGGAATTCCCAAAGCATACGGAAACTGCAATATGCATAAATATACGTACGTCACTTATTAGTTTTAAATTGGTTTAGGCCTACACTCCAATAATCAAATTACAATGGTTGACCTTAATTATTATTATTATATTTACTCTTGTGAAACATAAGAGTACATTTCCTTTATACACATAGATTGGGGAACAACCCCCAACAATACAGCTTGTGGGCGCTTTGTATGCTAAACACTGACGTCATAATACTGGTAGTGTACTGTAAAGTTACCAATCGTTTGATTGTGATCAAATGTGTAAAAAACTTTCGAAACGTGATGGTATCAATAAACGCACTTTTATAAACTCGAATAACGGAGTATGTGACGCAAGTCTAGATGTTTAAAAAAGTTAACATTATCTATAGATTCATTACAACTTTATTTCAGATAAGTTCATAATAAATTAACGCAATTTAAACAGCATTGTTAATGTTATGTCAATTATTTTGTTGGAGTAATGAGGTTCGAATCCCACCACCGGAGGCGCTGATGTGCGCTCTGTCTATATGAGATCATCATTGTTTTTCTTTATTATTATTATTCCTTAGTCGTACGGTATATCACAGTGCTAAGTTATAACATTGATAAATGCAAATTAGTTATGTTCTGGTGAAATACTCTATTTTATATA